AGCGGCCCGGGAAGCGAGCTCTCTAGCCTGTAGTTAGGTGTTCGGGTAGTCTAGCGGCCCGGGAAGCGAGCTCTCTAGCCTGTAGTTAACACTTGGGTCATTAAGTCCCGGGACTAACACACAGATGGGGCCGCCAATGCCATGTCGCTTTTGTTTGCTTTAGTACCAACCTTCAAAAGATACGTGTAAAAATTTCATGACATTCGGTTCAGTCGTTGTCAAGATATTGAAGGTTTAGTGACGCTACATTTGTTTTTGTTTAAACGATGGATAAAAACGAGTTTCGTGTGTTAATTAAACACTGTTTTTTAATGGGAAAAAATACCGTTCAAGCACAGCAATGGCTTGAAAAGTGTTATCGGGAAAAGTGCCCATCGAAAACAACTATTTGCCGATGGTATGCGGATTTTAAACGCGGTCGAAGAACCACCGAAGACGCGGAGCGCCCAGGTCGTCCAATTGAGGTGGGAACGCTCGAAAACGTCCAAAAAATTTTGAAAATTGTTATGTCCGATCGTAAAGTGAAGTTGCAAGAGATAGCTGACATCCTAAAGATATCAAAAGGCACCGTGTTCAAAATTATGCATGAAAATTTGGGTATGAAAAAACTTTTATCCAAGTGGGTGCCGCGTTTGCTCACAGTGGAACAAAAACAACAACGAATTGATGATTCAGAGCGCTGTTTGAAGCTGTTTACGCGTGATAAAAAGGATTTTTTGCGTCGGTACATAACAATGGATGAAACATGGATTCATCACTATACGCCGGAGTCGAAAAGAGCGTCAGCCGAGTGGAGAAGAGAGGGCGAAAGCCGGCCAAAGCATCCGAAGACACAACAGTCAGTAGGCAAGATCATGGCCTATGTATTTTGGGACACACATGGAATTTTGTTCATCGACTTTCTTCCGAAGGGCCAGACGATCAACAGCGACTACTACATTGCGTTATTGGATCGATTGGATGACGTAATGAAGCAGAAAAGGCCTCACATGGCAAAGAAAAAACCGCTGTTTCACCAAGACAATGCACCGATCCACAAGTTGATGAAAACGATGGTGAAATTGAACGATTTACGATTCGAATTGCTTCCACACCCCCCATATTCACCAGATCTGGCCCCATCTGACTTCTACCTGTTCGCAGAGCTCAAAAAGATGCTCCAGGGAAAAAGATTTGGTTCCAATGATGAGGTTATAGCCGCAACTGAAGCCTATTTTGAGGCAAAAGACAAATCGTTCTATAAGAAAGGCATCGAAAGTTTAAAAAAACGTTGGCATGATTGTATCGCTATGGAAGGTGACTATATTGATGAATAAAGTCGAATTTGCAAAAAAATTTGTGTTTTTACTGGTTAGTCCCGGGACTTAATGACCCATATTAACATTTTCCGGAAAGAAAAATGGTCCGATAACATAATTATCCAAAATTCCCATCTAGACATTAATATGGAATTGCCCCTGAATGTGAGTTTCTTTTCTACAATGCGGATTTTCTTCCGCATAATGATGTTCATTATGTCGATTTATGCGTCCATCACTGCGGAAAGTGCATTCATCTGTCCAGAGAATTCTCCTCAAAAAATTATCGTTAGGAATGTTGTTTATGTCGACCTGGAACAAAAGTAATTGATTGCTACGATTTTGTAAGTTATTATCGAAATCGAAATGGCACGAATATTGATAAATTAAAAACTTGTGGCTATCATCTCACGATAAATCGACATCCGAACGGTTTCTAAAACTAAAAAAAATTTAAACTTCTCTTTTTCAATTATTTAAAAAAAAATCAGTGCTATTCTAGTCGTGGTAAAAAATGATAACTACCAATTACTAATGCATCTTATTCTTACTTGCTCTGAAAGCCAATCACAAAACGCTTCTCTACGAGGCAAATCTTGGGGAAATAATCTTTGTGTTGTATGTCTTTTAAATGGATGCCAGCCAAGATTTTTCTTAATAATTCTATGAACTTTGACATGGTCCAGTTGGAGATCATGTCCAATACTTCTCGTACTTGTATGCGGATTAACAATAACAGCTTCTCTTACTGAATTAATTGTTGCTTCTGCCCGTTGTGGTACGTGCCGTGGACGTGTTGAAGCGTGTAATGTCCCATACTGAACAAGTCTAAGAAATAGACTGTGAAAGAATCCGTGCCCTGGATGTCGCTTGTTAGGAAAACGTTCCGCATAGAGAGCTGCGGCTTGTCTTTGATTTTTCTGGCACTCTCCATAAAGAAGCAACATATTTGCCAATTCTTCGTTCGTATAACGCTCCATCGTTAAATATATCAAACTTCTCGCAAACTTTCCAAGCTGTTTAACAACTGCCATCGTCACAGATTGTCAAATATTTTCTCACACATATAGGCTACATTTACACCGTGCGCATATTCCGCGACTTATACGAAAGGTGTCTTTGTTTAACCTACAGGATAAACAAGGACATCTATTATATAGAACAATATTGTATAGAACACTATTGTATAGTACAAAATGGATTATTTCTTTATCATATTATTACTGCGTCTCTTTTAAACAGAGAAAATGCATGATTTTCCCTAAATTCTTCAGAACAACTAAAAGTAAGCACATAACCGCATACATTTATATTTATTTTGCTATGAAGAAGAAAAAAAACGAACTCGTTTTGTCGATTAAAATGGCACTTAAGTAGAAAAATTTATAATGATACTACAGTAAATCTAGATTGTTACAGTAAATATCACAAATATAAATAACAATAAAAATGGTTATCGGCGGATCTTCTACCTAATTTATTTTGGAATGTTAACACTTTATTATTAATTAACAGTCAATTTAATATATGATGATAAGCAGATTTATATAAATAATGCTACAATAACACATGTAAATCTACCAAAGACTTATTAATGAAAAATGTTCATTAAACGTAATGTTAAATTACATCTTATAAAACTTACCAATTTGTATATTCAATGTATACAATATTTTTTAGTAATAATCCTCTTGGAGTTTTATAAAATATAAATATAATATGCAGTCATTTATATGAAGAATTGCATAATGCTTATTAATAACACTTTATTAAATAATCAATTTAATAATGAATTATTATTCTTCCAAATAAATATTATAAGATTTAACGATAATTGCCGTTATTTAAATTTACAGTGAATTAAATTTTATTTATCGATTTATAATTTAAATTTGCAAAGTTACATTTATTTCTGACTTTCGTTCTCTGTAAAAATAATTCAAACAATCAAATTATATTACACAATGATTACATTCGACTATGATCAAATTTTTTTTACAAGAAGGAAAACATGCTTCGTTTTCACGATAAAATTCGTTTTTATAACCTATATCTTGTCACTTCGGCTTCTGTTTTAACCTATTCCTACGGAAGTTCGTCATAATTGCACCACAATTTGATATACTACGAACTTTATTGGAAAAAAGGTGTGCTATGATTGTGCCGCCGAAGTCTACGCAATTGTGAACGATCTCGCGCGCCTGCACGAATGGGCAACCCGTCATACTGACCTGTATGTTGGTGCAACATAAAGATAATACCACTTAAGATATTTAATTTAGCAAAGACAGTACCACTTGGACATTATTTTTTCATTTGGTAGAATTATTTGGTAGAATTTAACTTGATCTTTAAACCGAACCATATAATTAGTTTTTTTCATGGTCCAAATGATACGTGTTATTAGAATTAAGTAAATAAATAAAGAAGACGGTTTCAATTATTAGGTATAACAGTTTCAAATATTAGGTTAAATGATACATACATTAAAATTAACTGGATTGTAAATATACTAAATAAACTAAATTTATTTCGATTGCAACAGAATAAATTTTTATTGTATGGATATACTGAAATAAATGTAAAAGTTATTTCCAAATTGATTTCGGAATACGTCGACATTAGAGCCGTGAAAAATTCCAAAACATCTTGTTGTTTTCGTTCTTCGAAGCGTTCTCCAACAAATCTTCTAACCGCTAAAATGTAGCAACGCTTACGCTCATCGTAAGATACTTACGCGCAGATGGCATCAGTCAATGCGTTCGATACTTTATTTTGTAGTATTTGTTGCCTGATACTGTTTCCTCGCAAACATAATTCTGTACATCATCAATGATATGAGATATGGCCCTACAGTCGTGAATTTTCACAGCCTTTACTATATCTCGGACTTATCTTTATCTTAAATTGATTTATTGTAGCTGAGATTTGAACACAGATCTCAGTCGATTATGTTCTACAATGGCTCCCGAGTTTGCTTTAACGGATGCCGGATTGAAATTTATCAAATGCAGGCCTTCCAGTGTACTCACTCGTGACAACCCTACATAGGCTTGACCATCACTGAACACACTCATTCCTAGATTCATCATAGCATTTTTACACGTAATTCCTTGACTTCTATGTATAGTTATTCCATAACTAAGAGGCAATTGAAATTGTTTCCGATGTACCACCATTTTGTGGAAATAAATAACAAATATATTTATTAACGGTTCTTATTACGTAACTTTCTATAAGTTACAATTTACGCACTACAGTTAGAAATTAAATATTCATATTAGCTGTACAGTACTAAAAATAGTACATACAATAAATTAATATAGAGCTACAAAAAAAGATATCGTGAGTAATTAATACCCGTAGAAGGCCACATTAGCAAAGTGCCATGCTTTATTTAAATTTGTATGACTCAAATATATAAATAAAATATTAAATGGCAAAGAGCACACTCAAAAATACATATAAAAATTAAAATGGAGAGTTCACCTCCGATGACCTTGATCCTACTATACATTACGAAGGTCATCACAATGTTGAGGTCACGACCCTGAGTGACCATCGGACACTTTCAGCAGGCGAGGGTGAGAGAGGATGAAAGGGGGTGAGAGAGGATAAAAGAGAGTGAGATAGGGCGGAAAATAGAGGTTGGTGCGGGTGAGGGATGGTGGGGGGAGGGGGTGGAGTGGGTCAAAGTTGGCGGAGGTGAGAGTGAAAGGTGAGAGACAAGAGAGGTACATGTGACGGCGGACAGAGAAGAAGAAGAAGAAGAAGGAGGAGACGTTACTTCATTTTTCATGAAAATCATCACTCTTTGACTGCTTGTATGTCCAGAACGGCTTGACCGATTTTTATTTTTTTTGGCTCAAATTACTCGTGGCGATGACGCCTTTCAGGACATGTTACATGCGATTCAAAATTTTTTATATTTTAGTAGTTCTGAACCCTCAAAAAATGGATTTTGGTGGCTCGGGATAAGAGACTTGTAGTCTTTTAATTTTTGAACATGGCCGGAGACACTACCGCGTCTCCTGATACTTATTATTAAATTGCTTGTTAATTTGTGATATTACAATTTAAGCTGTTTCTACAGAAATATATATATTGTACACTAGGCGTCATTGCCTAGTGATACCTTCCAGCTTGAAATTTATAATTTCCTCCGATCGTACACATCATATCTATACACTGTTAAAAAAAAAGAAATTTGCTTCGGTTACATGTAACGGAAGTAAATTTCTTTTTGTCATACATTACATACTAGTGTACATACTTGAATCAGGTAGCAGGAATTCTTTTCCTCTATATTCCTTGTATATACGTTAATTAATTCTATCCTTCGTATACCTATGTATATTTTCCATCTGTGAAAGCCAATGTCACAGATTATTATTGTTTACTCGAAATTAGCGAGTTATACGTTTCTATAGGAACATGTTCAGATTTCAGATCTTTTCGTACATATGTTCACTCGTTCAGGCACCAGCAAGATACCAGGCAATTCTTACCGGGCTCGCCCTATTACCGTCCATTCGGGCCCTGATTAGGATGATATCGGGCAGTTCTTGTCAGGCGCGCCTGATCACTTCCCGTTCAGGCGCCAGCAAGGATGATACCAGGCAATTCTTATCGGGCTCGCTCTATTACCGTCCATTCAGGCCCTGATTAGGATAATAACAGGCAGGTGTATCCTGTCAAGTCCTAATAATGGTGATATCAGGAAAACCATATCAGACAGACCATACTCCTACCTGATTAGGTCCCGATCGCGCATCAGGCACGCCTGATCGAATTTCTGCTCGAGTTATGATCATTTGAAATTTGGTAAATTTTTCCAAAATTTATAGCGTACAGCTTTTTTTGGAACTGAGTGTATAATATATTATATATTTGTGTTAAATATTTTTATTTGTATTGCATTTATTCAATAAATGACTTTGTCAGTACAAGCGGCTTTCTTTTCGAGCTAAAAAACATTTGATTAATATAATAAAAATTTTTGATGTATCAAATAAATT